CATGGCGGGGTTGTGTCTCTAATCTTAGCCCTTTAGCTATGTCTAGAATGGTATGCCCTCCTTGGGCCCCACGCCAGTTGACAGAATCAGTTCTTCAGTCCCTTTAGGAAAGCCGAAAGGGTAGTTGCATGATCTTCCAAAGGGTAGGAGCAGAAAAGTCTCTTCTTCTCAACCCCACCAGCCAGAATTCATTGTCCAATTGGTTTCACAGAATGTCCTTTCAGCTGGCTTGGGTGGGACAAGCCAATCCCATTGGGGTAAAACAGTTCCTTAGCTAGCCTGTTGTTTAATCTTTTAAATTGCTTGAAGGATGCAAATCATCTGTTTAATTTGTATGATAGATACATAAAAAACTCCCTTTTTATGACCCTGTAATTCCTTAATTTGGGGTAGACTCAGGGCAACTGGATGGAGCTAAGCGTTTACTGGCCAGATGCCCTTCCAGATGCCACGCAGAGTTTGCAGCAATTTTTTTTTTTTGTGCACCCTAGGAGAGAAACGTCTACCATTACCTAGGATTGAACTCTCAACCTTCCAAGTGGGAGGCAAGCATTTTCACCACACTGCTGTTATGATAGATTTAAAAAATTGTTTTTAAAAAAAATCATTGTTTCTGTGCACTTATGTATGATACATATGTAAGTGCACAAAAATATGATTTTTGCCTTTTATAGTCCGTAAGAAAATTGAATCCTTTAAGATCTAGTTTGAAAATAAATCAAAAGGTCAGGTTTGACTCACTTGGAAAGTTCAGACAAAAGAAGGTAGCCAATTTAAAACAGGATACAAAAGAGTGATTAGTCCTGCTATACAGGTTTGCTAAGCATTTGTGTGTGTATTTTTAGGTGTATTGTTTTGTTTCTGTCTTAGAAATGATGAATCTCTTGTTTCAGTTTAAACAGGATTGTTCTGGTTCACTTTGTATAAATGAAGGAGTTGCAAAACTCTGAAATTTCATGTGGGTTACAATCATATATTTACCTCTTAAGAGCTAAGTCCCATAAACTCAATTACTTTTAGCAGATAATATATATTGCACTGTCAAATATTGTGTTTATGACAGATCTAACTCATTTGGCAAAGGTCCCATGGAAGAACTAGAAGAACTGCATGTTGAAATAGCTAAATAGACCTCTCTTTTTGCATCTTTAGTTAATTAAATTACTGTAGTGTAATTCAGTTTAATATTATGCCTGCCATAACACAGATTTAATTAAGAAAATGGAAATATATATTTGTCATAGGCAGAGGTTAAAGTTGGGCATGCTATTTCATCACTATTACATTAATCACAAGGAAAACAACAGTATAAAAGACAAGGATCCTATATGAAGAACATATTTACTTTCTTAAAAAAAAATATGAATTTCTCACTGTATGATAGAAACAGAACTCTACTACTAGCAGCAAAAATCATTTGCTATCCCCTTTGTCAAAAATTTACCTGAAACACAAGATTATGGTTTGTATTTCATTCCAATTCTTCCTGTTATACAATGGTGATTTTTAAAAACCTCTTCTTACTAATCACTTTCCTCTGGCATAGGTTTTGGTCCTCAGAAGATTGACAAGATAAATGTGATAGAAAGTAACTGCATTTTCTGAAAAACCAGTATGTAAATTTTGAATGGAGGAAAGGTGTATGCTAAAAACTCAATCGTTATAAAAAGTGAGTTCATTATATAACTACCTACTTAGTTACACAATGAGCATATTTAGCAGATCCAGGGAAGAAATCAGACAAACAGAGGAGCTAAAGTATGTGTGAAGAACATCTCATGTTCTATCACTAGCATTTCCAGGTAGAATTTAAAAAATCTCATGCCTGAGATCCCAGGAAGTAACTGGCAGTTAATATATAAGGATGTCCTAAATAAATTGGGGGACTGACTCGTGAAGATGGGCCTCCATCTGTAAGTGAAGGTCTAGAAGCACCCAACAGTTCTATCTTCTTTTGAATGTGTAGTAGAACAACTACCCAATAAACTAAAATATCAAAACAAAAATGAAGTAAGATGGTTTTTCTCCTATCACTAAATGCTACTGCTCTTTTGCATCTTCTTGAATGAAGACAAACAAAGAAAGCCGAAATCCTTCTGAATTGTTCATCCTCCCTTTTCTTATTATTTTTAATTAAAGGAAAGTAAATCTAATTGAGAGTCTATTTGAAAGCAGTTATTTACTCTATTAGTAAATTTTTGTCTCTTTTTTCCCCTCTCTGTGCATACTTATGTCCATTCGCATAGTGTATATTTTTGGATTTGCTATGGAGGTTTTGTTTTTGGCAATAACATCAAAATAAATTTCCAATGTGTTCTGAAATGTTTTTTCAGCTTTCTAATTTAGTTTCTTAATAGTCTTTAATCCAAGTGTAATCAGATCCAACTGTGGTTATCTTTCATGGACAGCCAAATGTGCCAAAGTACAAAGGAACATCCAACTGCCTTTATAGGGTGCTGGTCATAGACTGAGTTAAGGCACATAAAACCAATTACTGTCCCCAGAAAATAGGGGACTGTCCTTTGGTCAATGTCTTCAAGATGAAGCCAGCCAGTTTGTTAATTGAGATTCCTTCAGAAAAATAAATTAGATTCTAATCTCAATAGCCATTTCCAATTCTATGATTCCATATCTTCTATACATGATTGACAGCACTAACCCAGTTATGAAGGATGATTCAGACACCCTATATAAAATTGTATCTTTTATTTTTTTATAAGCCAAAGAGCCAGCACTGTCTGAAGACGTCTCTGTGGTCATGTAGCCAACATGACTAAACGCCAAAGGCGCATGGAGCACTATTACCTTCCCATCAAAGTGGTCCCTATTTTTCTGCATGCATTTTTTACATGCTTTCAAACTGCTAGGTTGGCAGAAGCTGGGACAAATAACGGGAGCTCACTACGTTACACAGTGTGTGTATACACACACACACACAAAGTATAGTGCAGTCTCCCAGGTGAAACTATTTGTTTGAATGAGGAATTGTGCCAAATGACAAAACAATAAGCATATATATAGTCATTCCATAAAATAGTTTGTGCATATTCCTGTCGGTTAACAAGTGGCATTCAATTATGACAAAGGGAAAGAAAAAAGATGTAACTTATTAAATAAAGGGTAGCCTTTTATTAAATGAAGGGTCTAGGGTAGCCTTTCTTAATCTATTTTCCATGGAAGAACCCTTGAAACAATTTTCAGGCCCTAGCAGTCAAATTGCAGCATGTGAAAATTCCCCCAGTTGCAAGCATTAACACCATGTAATGCATGAATTTTTAAACATATTTTTTCAATTACAATAGCTAATAGAAAAAAAATCCCTTTTTTCTAAGAATCTTAGAAAAGACCCTTAAGGCTTGTTATTTAAAACCTATAGCAAGTTGCCACATTTGCAACCAATATGTTAAAATGTCTTTTTCTACTCCTTTTCCATATATTTTTGGGTTATGTTGACTTTGTCATATTGGGTAGTTTACATACATTGATTTTAATGTAGCAATTGGGCTATGCTAATAATTTTTGAAAATTAATATTTAACAAAAGCATGGCTATAAGTTTACATATATAACATACAGCATGTAAGTCTAACCCAATACTTCTATAAATCCATAGAAAATTATACCTAATTACTTGCCCCACATAAGGCCATTAAAGATTTTCCAACACCAATTTTATTAAAGTTCATAAGATTTCCCAGCAACAAAAATAATTTGTGATAAACATGTATTGATTTTTGCAGACCCAGAGTAACCAATTCCTCAAAAAATAATAAGCCATTTCAGGAACAATATTAGGAATAATTGGAATTAGGAATAATAATTTCCCTGCTCAAGTTACATACTAATTTTATGCATAATGGAATAATGCTTAGACCTAATAATAAATTTAACCTTAAAATAGTGCACAGTGTGAAAGCTCTTGCATTCTACAGAATTCTTCTTAGGATGATAGGATGGATGGTCTCTTTTGCTGGCCTGTTTGCATCCACATATAAGTACACGTTGTTTTGTATTTAGCATCTATAAAGGCATATGGCAAACCTGCAAGCTTGAATTTTAATAGTTGAACCTAATAAAATTATGGACATAACTACTGCAGTCTGTTGACGTGATTAAAGCACCAGTCAAGAAGCTGGAGAGCATGAGTTCTAGTTCAATCATAGGCACAAAGCTAGTTGTGTGATCTTGGGCCAGTCTCTTTCCCTCAACTCTAGGAAGGAGGCAATGACAACCCACTTTTGAAATCTTGCCAAGAAAACTGCAGGGACTTGTCCAGGCAGTGGCCAGGAGTCAAGACTAACTCAAAAACACCAAAAATCATATTCTGTGACTTTCTGACACAGGTTTTAGTTTATATATTGTTTTTGCAAACCTAATGCATATTTATTTAAGAGGTTACATTAAGGAAGTAAAACAAGACACAATTACAGATAAGGGAGAACCAGAAAAAGGTGCGTGAAAAAGGTGCTTCCTCCTGCTTGAAAAATTTATGAAGCAGCACGTCCTCTTTCCTGAAAATTAGTTGCTGTAACAAGAAATGCTAAAAACTTAAGATGTTATTCATCCTCTCCCCCATGGAGATTCTCAACCCTGGAAGTTTTGGATGTCTGTTTTGTTTTTCCCATCAACTTTGAGGTCAGAGTCAGCCATGAATAAGGGTAACCTCTTCCCATGAGCTGCTTTCACCTCCTCTTTCTCCCCTTAGGGAACTAAGAGTCTTCCGCCAGCACTTCACTCCCTCCTGCACCCTTCAGAGCGTGAGAACCAGGCAAAGCAATGGCCTAGAGAGGGTCCCACCAACGGAAGCAGCCTTGCTCCTCAGCTCCACCAGGCATGAGACAAGGAGGAGGAAGAGCCTACCAAAAACTTTCACCCTGCTTCCTGATAAGAAACAAGGAAGCAGAGCTAGTTCCAGTGGGGGAAAGGACAGTGGTTTTTTATGCACACATTTGGCACTGGGGTTTTTCAGGTGAAGCTGAAGCCCAGGTGGCTTCTACTTACTTGATGTCTTCCCAGACTTCGGGGCCGTAATTTCGGATCACCAGCAGCTCCAGGGCGTGATTGACAAAACCATACTGTCAAAGATAAAAGCCGGGAAAAGTCTTTTGTGGCTACAAGGCTTTGGAGCACTCAAGAGTAGCAAAGGGCAAGAGGGAGAAGATGGGTGAGAAAAACTCAGGTTGGGTTCCAAAGAAGCAAGAGAATAGGTAGGAAAGCTGGCAACTGCCCGTTCACCTACTCCAGGTATTTAATGCTTATTCAAGACAAATTTGAATGCCCCACTGAAGGCGGAGCTATTAAAATTTGCACAGAAGGGCAGCGGGGGAAGGGCAATGCGAGGGGCAGTCCGGACTGGGGCGGATAGGAAGAAGCAGGGTGGGCCGCTGCATTCCTCCGCTTGCACCCCTTTTCTCTTCTCTTCGGAGCTCTTCTCGTCTATCTTCCCCCCCTTCATCTCCCACTTCAGCACCGCGCATCTTTTCCTTCCCCACCTTTACTGCTAAAGACGAGCCAGCACCCTCCGACGGGCCCTGGGAAGCGTCGCCTTGACACTCACCATCGCGCCTGCGGTCTACCCCTCCCCGGCTTCGCGGGGACAACGTTCCAGCAGCTGCTTAGCGAGGCAAAGGCTGAAGAAGAGCAAGCAAGCAAGCAAGCAAGCAGCAGCTCGGCGCGCCAGCCGCCCCCGCGGCCACTCTCTGATTGTCACCGAGCCGTAGCCAATCGCAAGACCAGCCAGGAGGGTGATTTCCAATCAGAAGCAGAGGAGGAATTTGGGTGCTCTTCTGGCTCCGGGCGGGGGACGAGAGAGGCCGGGGGAGGAAAATTGATTAGAGGGCAGGAGAATGCGGGCCGATGTATACAAAACTCGCAAAGGCGTGAATCCCTCGACTGTGGCAGAGAGAAGAAGATGCGAAACCTCGCATTTTAAGTGTTTACGTATGATGCCCCGTGCTGTGAGAACAGGATCTTCCCTGTTGCGCACACTCATTCCGCTTTCTCCAGTAAGATGCTGCTCGGTCGCCTTAGTTACCTGATTGCTTTTTTCTAATTGATATAGAGTTGTACCTTTCTAGAAATTTGATTTTTTTTCAGTCTTGCAGGGAAACTATCTCTGCTATATTTCATTGCCTTGGCTGTACTTAAGAGTCAATTCTAGCCATGATTTCCCCTCCAGGAAGTACAGTATATACATTCTTGTAATGGAAATCTGCTACATTTTTATTTATTTATTAAATTTGTTTGCCGCCCATCTCTCCACAAGGATACTCTGGGTGGCTTACATTAAAATAAAGCTGTAAATGTATGAATAAATATATAAAATCACATTAAAATTAAAAATACAAGTTATAACTAAAGATGGGGAGGAAGGGAGGAGACTATGGGGGAGAGGAGGGAACTGCTATTAGTTGAGCAACCACCAGTGTGAAATTTCCCCATTGGAGCCCCAAGCCAACTGACAGAGCCAGGTCTTCAGGCTTTTGCGGAAGTCTAATTCTCTGATGCAACAAGCTCGTGGATAGTTTCTGTTGATCCTTAGATATTCTGCCCCATCATGAACTGGACATTACAGATTGTCTGTTTACAGTCTCTTTCATTTCAGTTGCCAATTGACAACAAAGATGTTGATTCTATTGTAGTTTAGATCTCGTTAATAATTGCATAGGAAAGAGCCAATCTGACAGCACTCAACTGAAATTATAATTACAACTGAATGACCAGGATTAACAACACTAGCATGGACTGTTCCCAAAGAAAATGGGAAAATACTGTGATTATTTACCAAATTGATTCATCATTAAAGTTAACCTTAAACGGGCTAAAACCATAACATTTTCAAAAATTATATCTGTACGTAGATGGGAAGTAAAACAAGGATAAGGAATATGAGCCACTTCATTACTGAATTACAACTTTCCTAATCCCAACCCTTATGGTGTGGGAACCCCCCGGCCTCTTAGAGAATGAAGTATTTTGAAGAATATTAGAAGAGGCAGAACATTATATTTTCCCAAAGGAGAAATAGAGAAAAATATTAACAAAGGCAGAAAGCAGCCCCATAGCCTTAAACAGAAGCCTCAAGTCTTTAGAGATGGATATTTTGGTGTCATTAAGAAATCCAGGCCAGCCTATTCATAAACAAAAATGCGTTCAGCCCAGCTCCCCCAGAGTTGGATTAAGAATTTACATTTCCCCAAGGAAAGAGCATGACATTTAGGACATAATAGGATTTTTATTTATTTATTTTATTTATTAATTTAATTTGTATACCGCCCTTCTCCCAGAAGGGACTCAGGGCGGTGAACAGCCAAAATTAAAAAACATACAAATACAAAAGTTAAGATAATTAAAAAGAATTAAATCACTAGCTTCCCAATTTAAAACCCCCAAATCCATAAAATTTAAAATCCCAATTAAAAACTATTTAGGCTAGGCCGGCTTGATGGAATAAAAACATCTTCAGGGCTTTACGGAAGGTCCGGAGGTCCGGGATCAATTGTATTCCAGGAGGCAGCTCGTTCCACAGGGCAGGTGCCCCCACAGAGAAGGCTCTCCCCCTGGGGGCCGCCAGCCGGCATTGCCTGACCGACAGCACCCTGAGGAGGCCCTCTCTGTGAGAGCATAATGGCCGGTGGGAGGTTATCGGTAGCAGCAGGCGGTCTCGCAAATACCCTGGCCCTAAGCCATGGAGCGCTTTAAAGAGGAGAACCAACACCTTAAAGCGCACCCGGAAGACCACCGGGAGCCAATGCAGCTCGCGCAGGAGAGGTGTTACGTGGGAGCGCCATGTCGCTCCCATAATCACCGGCGCGGCCGCATTCTGCACCAGCTGGAGCCTCCGGGTGCTCCTCAGGGGGAGCCCCATGTAGAGAGCGTTGCAGTAGTCCAGGTGTGACGTGACCAAGGCATGAGTGACTGTGCACAAGGACTCCCGATCCAGAAAGGGGCGCAACTGGCGTATCAGGCGAACCTGATAAAAAGCCCCCCTGGCCACGGCCGTCATATGCTCTTCTAAAGACAGCCGTGTGTCCAGGAGAACGCCCAAGTTGCAAGCCCCCTCTGTGGGGGTCAGTGACTCGCCCCCAATAGCCAGCGATGGCACCAGCTGGCTATACCGGGACGCCGGCATCCACAGCCACTCGGTCTTGGAAGGGTTGAGCCGAAGCCTGTTCCTCCCCATCCAGACCCGCACGGATTTACCCACCACCATTAGAATAGCAAAAGAACAAAGCTCACTACATTGTACAACCCCCTGGAGCATCTCAAACACAAAACCCCAGAAACCTATAAAGAATGAGTGCATGGGCACTCATTCAGCCATTTTGTCAGCCACCCCAGAAAAATTGCTGTTGTCACTGAAGTTTCTGGAAGCCAAATAAATCTTTCCTTGCAGCCAGTCAGCCTCCATTTTATTTCCAGCACCTTTCTCCTGTCTTGGAACCAGACTAGATTTTTCTTCCTACAATGGATTATGGTGAGGAATATTGGTAACCATAATAGAACAATATTTTAAGATCCACAGGTTCCTTACCCACTGGAGTGCCAAATGTTTCAAAAATATTTCTTATGGTCTCATTTAAAATGTTTCCTTCTGGCACCCCAGGTCTTCTAAGATCCATTTTAAAATTGCAGCAATATACTGCACTGTACTGTCTTGGAAAAGGTATCAGAAATGTTTGATGATATACTGAAAAAGTATATGAAATAAGGCTAAATGCCTCTTGGCAGAAATAAATCAGTTGAGAAATGCTATTGGTAGCTTCTACATTTTTTTTTGAAAATAACTGATAAAGATATGGAGTACAATGATTGATCCAAAGCACTAATGTGAATTCAGAGGTATGTTAATATTGGACATTTAATTATATTGTAGTTATTAACATCTATGAAATAGAAAAGGAAAAACTGTAAACTATTACATATGTTTTGATGATGATACAAAATTAGCCCTTATCAGAATTATCTTAGTTTGTTATTATCTAAATTTATTACATTTTATTGCAAATTATGGTTCAATTCAAGTCACTCCCTTCCAATTTGCAAGTTATTGGTAAGTAAAATGAAATATGAATCCAAATTTTCACTGCACCCAGGCTGCAATTGACTGAAAACAAGTGATTTTATTAAAAATCTGCAAAACAGAGCCAAACTGCACATCGACTATGAAAAAGTGACATAATCCATCAGTGATATCTAATCAAAGAAAATTTTATTATGACTGGTTTATTCTTGGAATATAACATAATCAGATGATTTTGCCAGGCTGATTCACAATTTACAGATTACTGCATTTGCTTTCTATATTTATAATTTACACTTTTCTGCTTCATTTGAATTTTTTTCATAATATCACTGAATTTACAGAATGTGATATATGAACTTAAGATTTTATTTCATGGATTTTGATATGTTTCTCATAGGCCTATATTTATAATTCTTTAAATGTTCATACAAAATATCTGTCAAGCCAACACTCTTGGGGTGTGTGTGTGTGTGTGTGTGTGTGAGTCTGTCTCCATCCATCCATATAAATTGATTCCTATTTCTACAGGAAATGAATTATAGAGAAAGAATATGGTGGGAGGAGCTCTTTTGACATCAGTATTCCCATCCCTCAAAATGGCACTACTCCATTTTCTTTCCTATCCTTCAACCAGAGAAAAACCTTATTTATTTCACAGTTTCTAGAGAAATTTTCTAACTATGTGCCAGTTAGTCCCAGAGCCAGATATTCCTAATTCAGAGCGTTGTTAAAGAATTATTTCAGCAAAGGAACTACCATGTTTCCCTGAAAATAAGACCCACCCCGAAAACAAGCCTGAGCCTGATTTTTGGGGTGGGCCTAATATAAGCCCTATCCTGAAAATAAGCCCAGGCAATGGATGTGGCCAGCACAAGAGCCGGCCCCTTGGTGCAGCACAAGTACTGATAAGTCCGAGCGTGGAGGCAGAGGCGGGCGGAGAAGACAGGCTGTCCAGACGTGCTGTGTGGCTGCCTGACTTACAGGAGTCCCATGGGAGGCTTGCACGGTGGCACCAGCAGCAGGCGAAGGCAGAGGCATGGGCGATGGGGGAGGCAGAGGCATGGGTGATGGGGGAGGCAGGTGATCCCAATGCCCCACATGGGTTGCAGTTTGTTTGGCATGGCCACAGGCAAGCCAAGAGACAGTGGGACGGAATGGGCAGTATATTGGGATCACCTCTGCCTCTACCTGGTTCTGCTGCGCACTTTTTGCCCAGAGGGAAATGAAGCTTTGTCTGTTTGCAAAGGAGACACTTTGAAACAGAGCTAATCGTTCCATTTCAAACCATCCCCTTTGCAAGAACATGAAGCTTTTGAATCTCCTTCATTTTTCTATCCAGGCAAAAACTGTTTGGTCGCCTATGGGGGCACTTGGGAATGGAGCGATTTGCTCCGTTCCCAAGTGCCCCATAGGCGACCAAACACTTTTCACCCAAATGGAGAAGTAAAGGAGATTCAAAAGCTTCATGTGCTTGCAAAGGGGATGGTTTGAAATGGAGTGATTAGCTCCGTTTCAAAGCGTCTCCTTTGCAAGCAGACAAAGCTTTTGAATCTCCTTCAGGTGAAAAGTATTTGGGCAAGTACCACTGGCTCCACCCTCTCCATCCCACTGTCTGCTTGCCTCATTTGGGGCCAAGCTCTCAGCACATCCTGGCCTCCACTTGCCTTGCCAGGAGGGTGAAGAGCCCCCAGGATGTGCTGGCAGCAGCTAGGCCAGCAAGCAGGGTGGGTGGAGGTTGGGGCATACTGAGAGTTTGGCCCGTTGCAGACAGTGAGACAGAGAGGGCCGGGCCAGCAGTAGCTGCGCTCCCACTCCCGTTGGCTCCCACTTGACGCCTCCTGCACTTAAAAAAAAATAAGACGTCCCTGAAAATAAGCCTGAGTGCTTATTTTCAAGCCCAAAAGAAAATAAGACTGGTCTTATTTTCAGGGAAACACGGTATCAAACCTATAAAACATATGAAAGGGCTAATTGGGTCATGTTCATGTATATAAGGATATGAGGTTTGAGTAGATATAAAGGAAAAGGAAAGTTTGTCTTCACTTGTTGGCATAAGCAGAAGAGCTACTCTGCTGTCAGCTCTGAAACCTCTTGAAGCCCAGGGGACATATATTGTTAGAGGAGTGTTTATTTTATTCCAAATTCCTGAACAGTTTATTATTTCTTTGACTGTATGTCTAACCTCATGTTCCAACATAACTGCATATTTAACATTCAGATCTACCCTTTGTAGTTAGGAGAAACATCTTGAATTGTTGTATTTGGGTACTATGGAGCATTCATAGCAATGGGTTATATGCTTGTATATGCCTCAACAAGCATATAAATGGAATTTCATGGCACCAAAAGAGTCATACAGCGCAAAGAAAATGTTGAATGTGACTGAAACAGACTGCATATAGGAAAGCAGTAACTTTTTTTCTTTTTCCAGTTCTTCTGTATAGTAATAGCGCAGATCATAATTTCTGATGAAAACTGGAAAGATCTAACATAATAGTGAATAGCTAAGATTTATCAAGCAAGATTGATATTGGCATCTTCTATGCTATCTAATAGCCATAGAATCATTTTGTCCCTGATCATTGTTAGGATCCATAATAAAACATCCAAAGCAAATGTCTACTCCTGCTTAAAGAAATCCACCACTTCCTATTGAAGTGATCTTTAACTTTCTACCAGAATATGCCTTCTGGTACCTTTAAAACCATTATTTTTTGTCCTGCAATCTGGACAAAATCCTCCCCTCCCTTCCTCCAGCTTCAGCCTGTGTTTACATCTGCTTTAAAAAAGCTTACTACATATTAACATTGGTATGATTATAACTCTTCACACAGAATTCTAAATCATAGGTGGAATCCGCATGTGAAACAGGCTTGTATCAAAAATGTGCCTTTCCAGCAAGTGAATAGTAAATCTAGAAGTCATCCTGAAATTTTCCAAAGCGTTATTTAATCAAGGGACTCTAAAATTTAAACATTTTTACAAATGGACTATTTGTGTTGCTTTGTAATGTCATTGATTTGTTCCAATTATATACTAGAGCCTGAAACTATATTTAAAGCATCCCAACAATTTTTATATCATATCAGATGAAAAAATAAGGCTAAAGATATGTTGTTTTTAAAACTGAAATACTGGAGCTACTGTTTATGGGGAGGAAGAGGAAAAGTAGTGATTGAAGGCCGGACTGAGTTAATGAACTGGAATCTAACCGGAAGGGGAGGCGTGTCTTAAAGAAATATTAACTCAGTCATTGGCCAAGGACATGAGAACAGCCCACTCAATGGACTCTCTGGGCGCAAGGGAGAATAATTGTTTTCTCTGTCAGAAAATTTATCCTTGCTGCTAGGTTGGATCTCTTTAACAAGGTCTCAACCATTACTTCTTGTCCTGCCTTCTGGTGCTTTGGAGAATCAATCAATCCCTCTTCACTGTTACAGCCCCTCAGATACCGGAATACAGCTATCATGTCAACCCTAATCCTTCTCATTGTTAGGCTAGACATATCTAGCTCTCTCAACTGATTATCAAATGTTTTAGCTTCCAGACCTCTGCAGAATTTCCAGGTTTCATATATTTCATATATATCTATATAATTTGCATTGTACTAATCCTATTCAATTTCTTCTTACTTTTGCAGAATTAGGCAATTTTCTGACTTAAAGTCCTTTGATATAAATACAGGAAAGAGAAGAAACAATGCAAATATAATGGAATACAAATACAAAAATGCATGTCCCATTAGTCACAAATTTATGAAATGCATTATATAATATGATCTAAAATAATATCTAATTCTCTGCATCATTAAATATACTATTCTTTTATTACCATGTGCTTTTTTCCCTCATTTCAGTGCCTCTGAAAATCAGCTATATATGAAGGACTAGAACAGTGTTTCTCAACCTTGGTAGCTTGAAGTCCACCCATCTTCAAGCTTCCAAGGTTGAGAAACATTGGACTAGAACATTGCAATGAAAAAGTTACTTGTGTAGTTTGTCCTCCCATAATAGGTATGTTGCACAGCATGAAGTCTGTGGTATCATCAGAAGCCCTATGTGTGGCCTCCAGATCTAGAAACATTGTTTCCAAACTTGATAGTACTACCCTGTTTCCCCCAAAATAAGACATCCCCCGATAATAAGCCCAATTGGGCTTTTGAGCGCATGGCAATAAGGCCAAGCACTTATTTCAGGGTTCAAAAAAATATAAGACAGGGTCTTATTTTCGGGGAAACACAGTACATTTCATTTTAATATAAATTGTAAATGAAATGAAATCTTCTATTTCTCTACCCATTTTTTTCAGATTATGGTGCTAGCATAACTCTCAAAGGACAAATGATTCTTAGTTTGGTTATGTGTTTGAGTTATGACATGGAACAATGAGCCCTAATTAATAAACATACTGGCACTAGTGAATTGGAGTAAGCATGTCTAGTTATTCAGAAATATTAGGAACTATAAGAGTAATGTGTGTTTGTTAAAAAGAGAATTGCACAGAATCTACTCAGGACTGAAAAAACGTAAGAACTGAATTAAATTAAATGGTGCCCTATGATACTAATGTTATTATTAAGCTCAACTGGCAAACAAAGTATACCAAAGCAAAATAATTTTTGTGGTATCCAAGTTCTGTATATCCTTTCTGTGTAATTCTTTTTATTGAGTTCAAACATAACCATAATGCATTCAAAGTCTCTATATACATATATTTGATTCAGAACTCCTCATATTTTGCCTTATCTGTGCTATGTTAATACTGTTAAGCAAAGATTGTACACATTTTAATCTAAACAGTTAAAATTATTTGAGAAAACATTTATTGCTATTACACAGAACAGGGTATATATACAGTATGTGCTTCTTATAAAATGTGTGCCTCCCAAACTTAAAATGCTGTTTGAATATAGATTTTAGATTTGATTATTCAATATATTACATATATTAATTTATAGACAATGATAGCAGTAAGTGGCATCTTGTGTAAACTAGTTTTAAAAATTGCCAACACCATACAAGTAGGGAAATAACAATCCTATGTATGTTTACTCATATGTCTTGCTGAATTCATTGACATTTATCTAGATAGGTGCAAATTAAATTGTCATCTAAATGACATTGTTTACCTCTTAGAATTTCCATAATCTTTGGTATTATTACCTGACCAAAGCATTCTTGTTGATGTTAAGGAACAAATATTGCAATAGTGAGTAATTTCAATGGCCTTCACATAAACTGGATAAAACATATATTCTTTTCATAAATATATATATATATATATAGGTCTTTGGTTATTCGGGTTTTCTCCCGCGTAAAATTAGAGGTGTCTTGGCAACGTTTTGACAAAGTCTCATTCGTCATCTTCAGGCTGGTGCTTTCGGCTTCGTGCTTCTAGGAGTAATGTGTTGTTGTGGCCCCGCCCTCCGAGCCTATCTCATCGGAGGAAGAAGGCTCCAAACATGAAGAAGAGGAGTCGGCCAGGCCTCCCTCTCCAGGCCCCTCCCCTCTGGCACTGCCTCAAGTGCTGGCCGAGGAAGAGGAGATTAGCCAGGAGCCAGGTGTCTCCGATGAGAGCGAGGGAGGTGATCTGTCGTTCCTGGATCCACGCCAACGAAGGCATGATAAACGGTTGCAGCAGTTAAGGAGGCATGCCAGGGATTATAACTGAGTCACTGGACCACACCCCAGAGATTATATAAGAGAGTGTGGTGGCCATTTAAGACTCTGTGACGAACAAAAACTAACTCTGGCTAGTCACTTGAACAACGCCTAAATCTGTCGAAGGTTCCTTGTTTTGAACTGGACTATTTGCAATTTGTATGTATTTTTCTGTTTATCTGATGAAGTAAAGCCCTTGGCAGTCGATGCTCGTATAGCTGCCACGTTTTAGATAACAACCTGTGTGCGCGCCAAGTGCTTTCTTAACCCTCGGCTGGCTGTGTTTGTGTGTGTGTGGAGACAGGGACAGAACATGTGTGTGATCGCAGCTGTTTCTTCCTTTTAACTGCCAGTGGGGGTGTGAACTGATTGGATGGGAGCTTGGCTGTGTTCTGATTGGGTGGAGGTGTGTTCTGATTGGTTGGGGGTTTGGCTGTGCTCTGATTGGATGGGGGGTTGGCTGTGCTCTGATTGGATGGGTGTGTGTTCTTTTTAGGTGGGGGCTTGGTTGTGCTCGGGTTAGTCTGAGTAGCAGGGGGATTTGAGCTGATGAGCTGTGTTGCTGTTGTTTGGCTTCGTGTTCGTGGATTTACCCACCAACTTCCCTTCCTGGATGTCTTAGTCTACAAAAAATCCAATGGCTCCCTAGGACACACCGTCTACCAGAAGAAAACACACACAAACCGCTATCTGCACGCACTCTCACACCACCACCCAGCACAGATCAACTCCGTAGCCAAGACACTCATCTCCAGAACAAAACGCTTAGCTGACGAACAACACCTAAAAACCGAACTACACACTCTCACTAATGTACTAACATCCAATGGATTCCAAAGAAATAAGATTACCAACCTAATCCAAAAAGAAACCCCCACTGAAATCCAAGACAGAGAACAAGAAAACGGCAAAGCCCTCCTCCCATACATAAAAGGCACCACAGACAGAATCAGCAAGATCCTCCACAAACACAACATCAAGACAGCATTCTGCACAAACTGAAAAATATCCACCATCCTATGAAACCCCAAAGAAAAAATTGAGTTAGAAAATCAAGGAGTATATGAAATCCCATGCACCGTCTGCCCCACCACATACATCGGACAAACCAACAGAAGAATAAGTGCACTCATTGAAGAACACAAGAACTCAGTCAGAAAAGAGGAACCAACTTCTTCCCTGGTCCAACACCTCAAAGCCATAGGACATGATATTGACTTTAAAAAGACCAGAACTATCACCAAAACTGAACACTTTAACAACAGAATAATCAGAGAAGCCATCGAGATAGAAAAATGTCCACACAGCATGAATAAACGAGATGATACCTCCCGCCTACCAGCCATTTGGAAACCCGCCCTTATTGACAAACAAGTCCCTAACACAAGGAATGACACCAGACCCACACTCACGAGAGCCACACAGGATGTAACCAACACACATCCACGCAGAAAGCAGACTCAAACCCACACTGATGATGAGGCACGACCACGGACCAGAAGCCAGACTACAGCTGCATTTAAACCCCTCCAATCCATACATGAAGCAGACTGACACCCACCATGAAGAGGTGGCACGGCCACGAACACGAAGCCAAACAACAGCAACACAGCTCATCAGCTCAAATCCCCCTGCTACTCAGACTAACCCGAGCACAACCAAGCCCCCACCTAAACAGAACACACACCCATCCAATCAGAGCACAGCCAACCCCCCATCCAATCAGAGCACAGCCAAACCCCCAACCAATCAGAACACACCTCCACCCAATCAGAACACAGCCAAGCTCCCACCCAATCAGTTCACACCCCCATTGGCAGTTAAAAGGAAGAAACAGCTGCTATCACACACATTGCTCCTAGAAGCACGAAGCCGAAAGCACCAGACTGAAGATGACGAATGAGACTTCGTCGAAACGTTGCCAAGACACCTCCAATTTTACATGGGAGAAAACCCGAATAACCAAAGACCTAAATACAAACACCCCCGAAAATCTCAGAGATATATATATATATATGTGTATATATATGATAATATTAACAGTTGTGCATTAAAAAAACTAGGCATAGAATGAACCAGAGGCAATTCTGAATTTAAGTTCATATAGTCCACAGATGTAAATATTGTTTAATTGACTAGAAACAGAGAGCACAGTGTCATCAAAGTTAATTTATACATAACTAGAAAATTGCTAAGGATAACCATAAAAAGGACCCTAGAAGGAAAAAAAACCCCAAGAATTGGATTTCATCAGGCAGGTATGAAATCCAGAAATTCTGGACTACAATGCCATAAATTATGGCTTTTGGATCTGTGTTTATAAATGTTTTAGACTAAACAGCTTCTTGACACCCTTAGCCGAAAGTAGACTATAATGTATAGCTGCACTTTCCAATTTCTTATGAAATAATTTAGAAAAATTCACTAAAACAGACATTCATCTAGCTGGGCCTGTGTATATCACCTGTGTACTTAATACTTATTTAATTTTTATACCATCTATTACTTTATTAATAACTCAAGGTGATGAACATACATAATACGCCTTCCTCCTATTTTTCCCACAACTACCCTGTGAGGCGAGTTAGACTGAGAGACAGTGACTGGCCCAAGGTCACCCAGTTGACTTTCATGCCTAAGGTAAACTCAGCTTTCTATCTTCTAGGCCAGCACCTTAACCACTACACCAAACTGTTCTCTTAAAAAAAAAAAAAGCTATGGTATGTGCTCTGATGCTCATACAGCCCCAGATGCAGGTATAGAATGCTGAGAAACTGTTGTGAAAGCTGATTCTAAAACTGGGAATTTGGAGAGGTGCAAAGCACACTTTATCAAAAAACTGACTTCAAAGTTCATTGCTAGAGGGACAGAATTCTTCACAGGCAGATTGGCTCTGTCTTGTTACTGCTTCAACTATTCTTTTTTATACACTGAATATATTATCTCAATAAAAATTCTACGTAGTATGCAATATCTTTTTATCTAAAATTTAATACTGGATTTCAAGTGATTAATAAGCTAAAGTGCTATTATGTTTTGTTAATAAAAGGAAATCAAAACTCAGAACTTATAAACACACACACATACATACACACTATTTTGTCTCCAAAATACAATTTAATCCACTCCTGTTGATGTCCCCAAGAAATTTGTCTTGTCTTCTTCAGCATCTTTCTTCTGAAACCAGGCTTTTGTACTTTTCCCTTGAAGATAAGCGTCAAGAAAGTAACAGATTCCAGGTATATCGCCTGGAAAGTTGGGAGGAAGTTCTTGTCTTGAGCGAGGAGTAAACATGAAGCCAGGGTGATCCTTTATCAACCTGCAATGAGAATGAAAAGTATTATTACATATTTCAGATATTACCTGTAGATCTCACCAGCATAGTTAGGAGACTGGAAGGGCTATCATCAGTAGATACAAGGTAACAGGGTAAGAATTTGAAAGAATGCCAGGGGAGAGAAGGAAGGTTTCAGATTATTGTTACAGTGGTAAGAAACAAGCAGCAAAACCAAGTACTTGACATGGTAAGCTACTATACCTGTAGGTAGTGGGGCTAACATTTATTTTCCTAGGGACACTGCAAGACTCAAACTTGTTGGCAAGTGTTACATTGTTTCCAAATAGGCAGTAACGTGGCATTTTCACACCAACAACACCAGCAAAAACAGAGCCAGAATGTAGTCCTATACGCATCTTTTATAAGAGAGAAAGAAGAAAGTGATGTTAAAAATAATAATCACATTTAGCAAAAATGAAAACATCATTGAATTCTATCTATTTCTATATGTCAGGATGAATTGTGAGCTCAGCTTGGAAGCTGTATTCAGTGGATTCTAATGAATATGAAATACTGAGATAATTCAAATCTATAGTATATATAAAGATTCAACCAGAGCCTATAATGAAGAAACATCAAAATCCCTAGTCTCAAACATGTATGTTATCACTATTGCATGTGATAATATAATAATATACTAAGCATTATATACAAAATAGTCTAAGAGCAAGCACCATATCTCAAAACCAATTTTGAAAAAAAAAAATAGTTTTCCTGTTCTCATAGCTGTCTTCTACTCAAATGTGCCCAATTTTACAAGCTTGGGAAATTTTAAAAAAGCAGGGCAACAAATTATCTGATGTCATTCATCTATCCTGCTATTGAACAGTGAAAACCTCAAGTTAATATAAAATACAATTCACAACAAATAAGATTAATGCATCATTAATATGAAACATTGCTCGCATATTAAATTAAATTAAAATGTATGAGGAAAAAGTATACACAGTAATATTACATGGGACAGTAATAATAAAAGGAGATTTCCTTAGAGCAGATGATCCATTGCAATAACATCAGCAATCTCTCCTGTTGACAAGAGTGGCTAAATGACATAACATTAACACACGAGCGGAAAAAAAAGATGTTAAGGTTTGAAGTCTGGATTTGTTATACATAAACTAGGGTACTAGTTTTATTTGTATCAATGGCATTACTTTAATATCAAACTAAAAACCTGTTAAGAATTATGTTCAGGAAACCCAACTGTGAGTCTTCAACTGCAAGTATCACTTTGGGAGAAAACTGATACTATACAGAAAATAATTGAAGTCATGTTCAAATAGCTTGCTAACCTTGATGGATTCTCCATGTGGTGACATCACTTCATTGGACAGATCCATCATTTTAAGTGCCATTAGTGCAATCTGAATCGCATGGGTCTCATTTTCTTTATGTAAGCCTCCAGCTACACAATATGCATCTCCAATGGTTTCTACCTAAACATTAAAATGAACAATTTATAAGATGAGAAAATTAAAAAAGGAAACCCAAAACACAATTTGAAATGCTTTTGTCCCAAACCACCCACTATTCCATTTTTTTAGTCAAAATGCATAGTTCTCTTATGCAATCTATCCACTGGTGAATATTTTTGCATAGCAAAGTCTGATTCATTTTTGGTAATTCTTCATTATAATAAAAATGTTATGTCAAAATATTTACCTTGAATTCTACTTCTTTGAGGCACTATCAGCAATCCCAAAGCACTTACTCATAGTGTAATTGAGATCAATATATTAATTTCAAGGTAAATGTAGTAAAGATTGCATATATTTTCCCATTTTACAGCTAAAGCATCAGCTTCTAAGTTACATTATGCTTCCTACTTGATTACACCTACAGTTTAACTGCAAATAAGCATGCTCCATTATATGTTTTAAACCTCTTATAATTTTGAATCAAAACAGTTCTTCATATCCCGTTCACTTTTTGCAATTATTTCTCTCGGGAAAACCATTCTTTACCTTGTAGATATCCAGTTCTCCACACTGATAATCAAAGCGAGTGTAGAGCTCGTTAAGCATGGTGATAACCTGCATGGGTGAACACTGAGAACAGATTGCAGTGAATCCTACAATGTCAGAAAAAAGCATTGTGACATTATTAAATTTCTTGGCCTGTACAACTTGTCCTTGCCATAGCTGCTGAGCAACTTCCTCAGGGAAAATAGAGCACAAAAGATCAACTGTCTTTTTTTTCTCTTCTTCAAGAGCTTGGTGAGCTTGTTCAAGAGTTGCTTTAAGCTTCCCTAATCTTTTCTTCAATCCATCTTGAGCTCTGGCTTGTTCGCCTATTAAAACAACATCCCTAAGTGCATTATGAATTGGAATATCTGAAAGATATAAACCACGTCCTGTGAAATCTTCCAGTCTATCCACACAAGGAGATCCCAAGAACAAAATGGTATTAGATTCGATAATGTAAATCATTTGTCCTTTAAGATCCATAACCTAAGCCAAGACAGAAAAATGAAGCATTGAGAGAATTCTGAAGCTACTTAACATATACAAAGATAACAAAAATCAACTTATTTACTCTGTGGTATCTATCCACATTCCAGGAAAATTGGTCTGGATTACCTTTCCTCCATAAACAGTTCTGTATTTAATAGTGTTTGACTTTATGATGCCTATATTCTACCTTCTTTATCATCTGATAAAGTTAGTTATAAATGTGTAAGTTTTTCAAAGTATCTCTAGACTCTTACAATTTTCATCAAGATGAACATCAACTATTAATCTGAAGAACTAACCAATGCTTTTCACAAATGCATGCAAGAACATCTATTGTACTGACAGAAAATGGACATGCATAGAGGAAAGATACAGATTCAAATATTTAACATGTTTCTCTCCTTCATAAATTTACAGTGAAGAGAATTAAGTGAAAACCTAAAAAGGTGGGGTGACCTTTTTAGGTTTTACACATCATTTACACATATCAACTGATAAGCTGGGTTCATTCATAATAAGTCATAATTTTATTTGTTTTATGGACCATGCCACTGTAGGCTATGAATCATGGTTGATGGCTTATTTATCCTAACAAAGGTAAGCAAACTGTAGCTCACCACAATACATACAAGTTCAATCACAGTCTCATACCTTAAAGAAAAATGGATTTAATGAAGAAATGAAGAAAAAAGATACATCCAATTCTTACCCCAGTTGACTTTTTAAGAACTTTGTCTCCTCGTCTCACTCTTATAGTAAACTGCATGTTCAGCATTGTCATGATCCCACTAAATGTACAATTTATTTTAGGAGCTAAAATTTCAAACCACTCATCAAACTGCGGCTTTGCTTGAAATTCTCTTTTGTTTAATAATCTTCTGATGCCATTGCCAACTTGCAAAATATCCATGGCCTTGTCAAACATGCAATGGAAAGGAAAGGTCTTACAGAACATAGAAGTAGGAATGACAAGAGAAGATTGGGGTTTACAAGGTGATAGTGATGGCTTTGTGCGTTTGATGTGCACAGAATATAACAAATAAGGCTGATCAATAAACTCGGAACTGTCCTTGCAAAAGCTGGGTGGCATTACCATTATTTCCACCTCCATGTCATACAAAATGAGAGCTGCTGCCTTAATAATACCAGACAGGATGAGGGTAGTTGGTTTTTTGGGGAAAAAATAGTATACATTTAAAAAATTGGGATCTTTTTCCAAGCACAAAATTGAGACTTCTTCAACTCTGCCCATTTTCCCAGCTTCATGGCAATGAGAGCTCTGCTTCAGAAGAGTACTGAAACTGTTCAAAAAGTCTTTCAGACTTCCCCCAACAACTCCAAGAATGTGTTCATCTTCTTCGTAACATATTTTGAACAGCTCTTCACCAAGTGATTCTCTTAGAACAGTGACTGGAATTCCTGCCAGTATAAAACATTTTGATTACTGATATTGTTTTAAATTCTCCCAGTCAATATGCTTTTGATTTTCAACGTACGGTACATTCTCCTTTCATTTCCTTTGTCTAACTCTGTTTTCTATTACTGAACACTTCAGATAAATAACTATTTTACATCACTCTCTGAAATCAGTTTTTCTCTCCTGAGACCTTATATGTTTGAAGCAAAGTATTATTTTTCTTCTTCTTGTGCATTTTTTTTTGTAAAGATCTGGTGACCATTTATATTGGCTGTTGCAGAAGAAATATAACCACCAACTAGGTACATGCAACAAACTTTAGGATGTAATTGTTCTACAAGTAATTTGCTTGTACCAAATTATTATTGGTACAAGTGGCAAATGTAAAATGGGTCATAGGTGGGTCTTTAACCCTTTTAAAAATTTAATCTGCTCATAGCCATTTGACCTTCTGAAATGAAAAGGACAGAGATGCAAATGACGAATGAAATGAAAAATCTAAGGATAAGGAAAAAAATAAACTCTCTGATTGCTGCTTTTCTCTTACTAATCAAGGGAACAGATTCTACAGATTTGGAGTTCTGTCTTTGCAGCTTAACATTTAATTTGAATTTGAGATTATCTGAGATAACATTTAATTTGATGTTTTCCACAGAGAGACACCATCAGAGGAGATCTGCATTCTAATCTTTTATTCAGAGAGCTGTTTGTATGCACATGCATGTGAATAACAAAAAAAGATAATAAAAAGTGAAGTGTAAATGTCTTAAATACATACATACATACATGGGTAGCACTGTCAAGAATTTCATGCCATGCTATCAGAGTATAAGGGACATAAATTTAGCTGTCAATGTTGTTGATTGTCTGTTCAATTGCATGCCTTTCTTTTGACAGTAAGACATTTAAAAAGACTCTATGTCAGTGATGGCTAACCTTTTTGCTGTCACGTGCCAAAAGCGGGGGGAGTGCAGGGGGTCACACACACGTGTGCCCACACCCATAATCAAATGTGCCCCACCCCTCACGTATGTGCGCATGACCCCCCCCCGCACTCCCCCCCCCAGTTTTGGCACATAATGGCACAGTGGGCCCGGTAGGCCCGTTTTTCGTCCTCCCCAGGCTCCAGAGGCTTTCTTGGAGCCTGGGGAGGGCGAAAACAGCCCCCCCCCCGGCCAGGCCATCCAGAGGCTGGAAATGCTGACTTCCGGTGGGACAGGAAGGCCCAAAAATCAGCTGTGTGCTCTAGAGCTGAGCTAGGGCAACACTTGGGTGCCTACCGATATGGCTCCGCGTGCCTCCTATGGCACGTTCGCCATTACGGCTCTATGTCATTAGTAGTCTTGGTAGGTTATTGGGGATACTAAATAAACTGATTGTAGTGTTAGCACTTGCTATTCATAAATATATAATTACCTGCCAAATCTGCATTATCAGTGAGTAGATTCTCAAAATCTTTTCCCTCATACTGTCTGTAAAGGAAGAAAAATACAATTTTAAAACTGCAATTGTCTAGCAAAGACAAAATAATATGTAAATATACATAATTTTAAAAAACAGTAAGCAATGTATCAGAGTTTAAATTATAATCCTCATTCTTAGTTTGTTTTCCATTTATCACAAATTAAATGATGACCACTCTAATCATATATCCATATTCACCCATGAAATTCTGATCAAATATAAATTTAAAAACTGATAGAACATGCAGTAAAATCAGTTTGCTTGAAATTGCAGTGCCACAAATAGATCGTAACACTTGTTCTGATTATATTTAATTGGCTAGATCGAGAAACAGCCAAAATGTTAAGAAATGGTACAATCCAACTGAAGTCTGCCTCTTTGTATCTTCACTAAACATATGTAAACTTTTAAGCCAGGGATGTCAAACTTGATTTCATTGAGGGCCGCATCATTGTTGTGTTTGACCTCAGGGGGCCGGGGTGGGTGTGGCCAGTTCGACGTCACTCATGCTGGGGAGTTCTCTGCCAGCAAAAACAGGCTCCCAAGCTCCGTTTTCAGCAGCAATGGCATCCTGCAACCCTCTGCCAGCAAAAACAGAGCTCGGGAGGACCACCCGCAGCCCTCCCGAGCTCCATTTCCACTGGCAGAGGCACCGCGGGCTGGTCCTTCGCTGTTTCCAGGGTGGCCCCACAGGCCAGATCTAAGCGTCTCGGAAGCCGGATCTGGCCCCTGGGCCTTGAGTTTGACACCCTTGTTTTAAGATGTCAGTTTTCATGACTCAGGACAGCACTGCTTGAAAGGAAAGGCAAAGGGCACAAGCTATTTTCAAAGTGAAATATTTCAATATTCTAAAAAGGAGGTACAACTCAAGATTAGTCTCTTAACCCTGTCTTGATGAAAAAGTCCAAATTTTGCTATTAAATTATAGTTCAAATTCTTTGCTATTTAGTACAGAAGAGACCGTTTTATAGATCAGCATAACTGAGTCACCGGGCCTGAGCTGCAAAAATCTAGATGATTACAAGATAGCAACAAAGATCAAATTTTATACACATTTTTATTGCCATCTTGTGGTCTTCTCCATACTTGTACTTATTGGATAAATGGGATAGAAACCTTTGCTAACATACAGAAAAGTCACTCAGAGATCTGTAACTTCATTTTCTATTTTCTCCCCATTTTTGTAAAAGAATATAAAGTGTTACATTTAATAATATTAAAAACCTTTGTTTAATAATATACATCACTCTACCAACAGTATATTAAGCATTACAATCCAAAATACCGAAAGAAGAAACTATACTATAAAGCTGCAATTAAGTTTTACTTTGTAAGTATTAAAACTTAGTCATTATATAATAGGAAATTGAGATTAATGAGGTAGCATTAACTGCTAGATAAATCTATCACTCTTTTTGAATTTAAATGGTGCAGCCACTTACCCCATTTCTTTTATGTTATTATTGGCTAGGCTTCTTTGAAATGCAAGATACAACTTTTCATACTGAAATGAAAAAGGTTATATTAAATCAGATGTCAATACGTAATACTGGTGTCAGAGTGAACCTGGTCTTTTAAGCAGAAGAGAGAAAAGGTACAAATGTCATTTAGCTCAGGTGTAAATCCATTCTATATATTTAATAGAAATATATGCTTAAATAGGAAGGACTCTTTCGAAGGATCTGCATATAATGTATGACTCTTTGTCAACCACAGTTTAGACCAAGAGTACTTTCTTTACTTTCTTCAAAGACAGGCACAGTGATATTTACATAAGCCAGTAGCAATACTGAATCCAGGAGCATCTCTCAGCTGTGAGCTCTTGTTTAAGATAGAATTCTAACTCATACAAAACAAAAATATACGGATTTTTGGATTGCAATCGAATTCTCAACTAACACACATGTCTTGTTTGCATAGTACACAATTGTTTCCAAGATTCTTCATCAAAATGACCATATTTGCATACAGATCATAAATTTACAATTTTATTTTAAGATATATTGAAATAATATGCTCACCAAGAATAGCTGTTATTGCACTAACATTTTTTTAAAGGAGCAGTGCACTTGTTTTTCAGAATCATTCTCTATTATTGCTCAGCAATCCAACTCAGAGATTATGGCTTTAAGAGATTTCTTGTTAGCAAATTTCCAAGAGGAATGAAGGGACTTGTAGGGTATCTAAGCAATTAAACCAGCTCTTTGCACAATGCAGGATATCCAAAGATAGTTATCCAGACTCCAGCTATCCTGAATAGATGATTGTCCAGACTCCTATTATTTTCGGTCCATCAGAATGGCACACTTGAGTAGCTACTATATTTAACATCTCTTGCCATTTTCATTATTTATTGCATCAAAATTTTAGACATTTAATGGAAGGAAAACAGGTATGAAGGAAGATTATGTTGCCTGAAGAAAAACGTTAGTGCTGACTTTAGTATTTTACATTTGAAATGAATACCATATAAATAATATTTATATAATATTTAATGTCCTTAATAAAACAAAATATAATTGACAATATTTTTAAAAAAATATATCAAGGATTTTTTATTTCTTCATTTATTCCACAATTTCTGTTTTTAAAAACTCAAATAAAGTAATAAACATAGACATTTATTGGTATTTTTAACTTGATTTAATTCTATTTCAGCTATACTGTATTCTCCACAATTCTTAGAACAATCTCTGATTGACGTCAATGGACACATATAATCAGATCTGGGGCGTGATAATTGAAAAATATTTCCAAGTAGAAAATGGGTACCATAAGCTGATTTTCAGCTAGTAGAAAGAAAGGCTAACTTTTAAATACCATATATCTGGATCTATCTAAAAAAACCCACACAACTAGGTGCAATTTAGTTCTATATATCATATAATCAATTCACTAGCGTACTAGAATATTTGTCAACCAATTTAATATAAAGTTATGCAGGTATAACAGAAAACATCTTGATGTCAGAGTCAATATCCCACCATCCATATACATACTAGGTTCCTACTCAGGGGTGAAATTTACTTACCTTCCCTAACAGTTCACCAATGTGCACGCGCAATGCACGCACTTGCTCTGCTCCTGCGCACCATTGTCTGCGTATGCGCAGAGGCTTAAAATGTCGCAAAAAAGCGACGTTATGATGTTTGTATGGGTGGGTGGAGCCTCCCGCAGCCGCTGCTACCCGTTCACCCGAGCCAGATAGAACTGGCTGGATTTCACCCCTGTTCCTACTCTAACAAAGAATGTAGTACGAAAATATTGAAAAGTACTTTAGAAATGGCAGACTATGCATTTTACATGCTTAAGGTCACATATCTCATGTTCCACTAGATGATCCCAGATAATGCGATTCAAAAACACATCTGCTTTAAAGATCTATAAGAATTGTTGACAGGAACAGGAAATTAGACTCCATCCAGATGTTTTAGATAATAATTCCCATATCTTCTGCCACTGACTTTCCTGACTGAAATTTATGGCACTTAAAAACAAAATGATCATGGGGCAACAGGTAACTTGATTAATCTAAAGCAAAAGTACTATCAAGATTGATGGAATAATAAGAAAAAAATTGCTTTTCTCTCTAAAAAGTACCCCGAGACATTTTTTTTCTTATCAATGTATATAATATTTATGTAATGTGGATATTATTTACTAAGCAGAAAGATTTTTTCAAAATATTGTTAAAAATATTTGAGAGGCAGGTTTAGCTGGGAAAAAGAAATAAAATGTATTTTGCTAAAGCAAAACCCCCACCTCATTAGCATATATTGATGCCTCCATCATTACTATGAAGGCAAAGTCAGAACTCTAGGAACCAATTTCTATTGCTATACAAATGAGTGGGCCCTGAAATGTATAAAAAATAATAGGTCCATTTAAATTTTGTTGTAATGCTCCTGACATAATTAATTCTGTACCCTGAGTTTTGCTAGGTTACTAGCGAGTGTGAAACTTGTTAAGTAACTGATAAATCAAAGTATTGTACTTGGGGTACCTGAATCAACATGTTTCTAACAGTCTAGAAAGCGGTATTTAAAACAACAACAACAGGATTTTCCAATTGATATTCCAAACAACTTACTTCTGGAGAGATTAGCTTGTAAATGCTCTCAGCTAAAGTATGCAGAAATACTCTGTTCCTGCTGATTTTCCTTTGTGGAAGGTTTCCATGAGGGACTTTCTCTCTGCAGATGGGCAAAGGAGCCTTAGAACTGTTCGGCACTTCAGCACATTCTTCCTCATTTTCATCTGGAATGCAACTTTGGTTGAGCAAGGAGAAAGGACATTCGCCAGTGATCTTCAGCTCTTTCAGTTTTGTGCAGAACATACTGTACAGATCACTGTTATAAAATGTTGTGTATATCTCTATTTTGTGCTTAACGTGGCCACCTCCATTAACCAACCAGAGAAGAAAGAGCTAACAGCAGGAATTCCTGTGGCAAATTACTTATAACTGTAAAATCAACTTCCAAAACAACTTTATCTTTATTAGCCTGCAACGAAAGAAGGGGGAAAAGTGAAAGGAGACAAATAGTATTATATTATACTTCACACTATATTGAAGAACCAGCATAATTTCTCTGTTCTCAATTTTTGATATCTATTTTTTTGGACATCTTATTAAATTACACAGTAATTGATGACATAATAACCTGCAGGCACATGAATTCTTACATTCTTCTCTTTTTGTGACAAAAGAAAAAGATATGAAAACCTAGTTTTCATTGGGTTGCCAAGAAACAGAGATATTTTTGGAACAATGAAACAGAATCAAACAAGTTGAATCAATTTGGGCGACAATATGGGAAAAACAGTTCTGAAGAAAATCAATTCTGTAACACTTTAATTGTTTTATATATCATATATCAAATGGGCAAACTCTGCTTTTATTACTTCCCAAGGCAAAATATTTTAACTGATTATGGACTGGATGCAGGTTGGAAAAAAAGTTTACATGATAAAACAGGATGGTCTGTGGGAAACTATCTGCCTTGCCTACATCATCTTCATATAGATTGCTGAAATATTTATTTATTTTTTCTTGGTGCTTTCAATTTAAGTTATAAAGATAAACTTCTTTAGCTGGTATCATCATATCCTGATTGTAAAAGGCAGCATTTGCCCCCCACATAATTAACCTGGGTTAGATAATTGGGGCAAAATCCAAATGGACAATTTACAAATCTGTGTCATATCACAAAACATACATCTAGTCCACAAACAGTTCACCTGGCCTAATTTGGTTCAACTACAATATATAATAGAAGCCATTTTTGAATTCAGGATGAAGGACAGATATGCTGTCGACTGAATTAAATTGGAATTATATAGTGACTTCCCAAGATCCATATACAAATTTTTATTTTTCTTGTCCTCAAAAACAATCTGATAATTTGCCTCCAGCGCTCTCCCAGAGAAAAAGTATGATAAAGAAATAGAACTAAAATATATTGCTATGAGCTAGTGTGAAGTTTGTTGCTATGGAAAGAAAAAACAATCCAGTCATACATACATACATCCCCAACTTTTATCAATTGGGAATTAACCTCTGTCATAGCAATGAAATCAACTTGTATTTTGAGGGGGAAGAATAGATGGCTAAGAAAATTGATGATAATGGCCAAAGGCATGTGGAAGTTTCCTTACAGACCACTGAAACATACTAGACAGAAAAATATTTTTTCCCAGCTCTGCCTCCAGATTTCATTCCTGTGGTTCCATTAGCATTTAAAAATGATTAGTTTGTATGCATCTCTGCAGTTTTGTAAGATATTTTGTAGTACTACAAGGCAGTTGACTAGGTAGGGCACCACCTGTATAACTGCATGATGCTGCAATCTGTGGTGTATAATGTGCAATAACAGAAAACATGTAAAATTAATTGTAACTTTGTTGACATATATCTGAACAATTCAGTATTCTATTTACATAGGTAGAAATGTCAACTTAATTAAAATGTATATATAAACAGATTGCAGTTTGGGATATTCCTCAATTTTAGTTTAAAGCCCTGTCAGGGCTTCATAAAAGTCAGTATTATTACAGAAGGTTTTGGCATTTATCTCTTTCCAATTAGATCTTCCTGTAAACATAATGATTTATTTGATCCTTTAATACTTTGACATTTCAAGTCCAATTTATTGGAATTAAACCCAAAGTAATTAGGAATCAAACTGACCACAGAAGAATATTCTAAAGTAGCATAACATTTTAATTAAAAGACAAAATGCAATATAATATTTGAGATTTAAAAGAGATATTAATATGCTCTCATTTAATACCTAATTATATAACACACTTAAAAGTATACATAGTACTGTTACTTTATTAACAATGGGAAACATATTTATTTTAATACTAACATTTTAAAGCATGAGTTTTTATAGAAAGCAAGGTTCTTGACTGAATAATATTTTTTAAAAAAAAACAGAGGGCAACTATAAACAGAGCTGTGATTACATCTTTCAGAACCTTCATTTTTAGTTCAAACCTTAGGAACAATGACACAGGGAAAGGAAATCATAATAAATCTCTGCGTTACTAGAAGACAGATCATAAGACAGATCATAAGATCTAGTCCTGCGCATGCTCCAAGATGGCGGCGACCAAATGAGCTCCGTTTCGGGGATGGGAGAGTTGCCGGTCGTCAGGGTCTTCAGGAGCCTTCCTGTCCATCTCCGGCTCCAGTCCCAGTGAGGGGAGCATCCGCCCTGCCTGTTGAGGGCTTTTTCGCCCTCCGGAACATCAGGGCAGGGCTGGACGGCACCGCGGGAGATGGGGCGATGGGCCTGGCTGCGGCAACTGTTTCCGGTGTCGGAGGGAAGCTGAGGCCAAGGCATCCGGCGGTGGGCGGCGTTTGTGCGGCGGCGGCGGCTTGGAAGTGGCTCCCCCTCGCTCCCTATAGCCCTCTGGATCCCTGGGGCGCTCTTTTCCGGCGTTTTCGGGGGCTCCGGTGAGCCTTGGGAGCTTGGGGTGCCTGGTTGCGAGCTGGCGACGACGGCGGCGGCGGCGGCGGAGGCAATGGCTGACATGGACCGGCCGGCCAGAGAAACAGCCAGGCAGCAGGTTGATGGGGGAGAAGCTGACAGCCTCACCCCTAGGACTACCATCTGGCTCACAGTAGATTTTTACTGTGATGGGGTGTTTTTTAGAACAAAGCTGTGACTGGGGGGTTGTGGAAATTGGGGCTGGAGAGGCGGGAGGCTGACCATGGTTTGGTTGGTTGGTCGCCTCGGGTGGCCTCTCCTCCCCTCCGTTTCCCCCCAGGTAAAGGTGGGTGTTGGCCTTAATGGCCAATCACCCCTGGATTGAGCTTTCCTGTCTCGCTACTCCTACTCTCACCTCAAGGAAGATCTTGTGCTCGTGGGTCTATTATCATCTTTATTACATCTTTATTATTACCATCGTTATTAACATCTACACTTTGGACACTTTGGACCCTTATTATGCTCCACTCACGCCCTCGCTGGTAGGAGAGACTGTGCACCATTTGAGAGAGCTGAGGGATTTTCCACATCCCAACGGAGAGGATAGAACATTGTTCCCGTCAACTTTGTAATGGGACCGGCCGTCGTGAGAGGATGGTTGGCCATTAACCTCTGTTGGAGAAAAAGAACATTGGACCTTCTCCCTGTTGTGAGAGGACAGTGGAGTCCAGCCCTATAAATGGATATTTTGTGACCTTTATGCTCAGTTATCCCTTGGACTATGACAGATTCCCGGACTGGCTTTTCTTTTCCCATCTTTGGCTCGGTTGATGCTCCAAAAAACCGACCTTCTTGCGCTGCGAGACTCCCCCCTCTCGCAGGCCTGGCCCTCCACATTATCGAGGGCCTATCTTGATGACGGGCTTTGGGACCCCGAGAGATGGCATGCAGCAAAGAGGGGGCTGAGGGGTTTTTTAGCTAAATTTTTAAGGAAAATTTTAAGGGGACCCGGGAGGACGGGTGGGGGTTGTAAAAGTGGACCTGGGGGGTTCCAGATAGCGACTGTGCGGGATGATGGGTTGGTTAGCTGCAGCAGAGGGGTCGCGAAAGGAAATTTAACTGGGGGGCAGGGGGACGATAGAAAGGGCTGTGTAATTGAAATCATGAGTGGGAGGGGCAGGTATGAGGGGCGCAGGGGGTCATATCAAGTGTCGGGGGCGCGCACGCGCTGTCTCCGAGCGATTGCGCACTCCGGCCCCCAATGTGTGACTCGTGTCCTGGGTTGTGTAGAGCCTCAGGCCCAGGGTCCGCGGCTGATGTTATGTAATGCCAGGTCGGTGGTTAATAAGGCCCCCCTCATCTGTGATCTTATTTTGGAGGGGGGTGCAGACCTGGCAGGTATTACGGAGACCTGGTTGGGCCAAGAGGGGGGGTCCCCCTCGTAGAGATGTGCCCGCCAGGTTTCCATGCATTTCATCAGCCAAGGGCCCAGGGGAGGGGTGGGGGAGTGGCGGTGATCATTAGGGAGAGTCTTTGTCCGAGGGAGACCACTGTTCCTCAGATAGCCGGATGTGAGTCCCTTTGTGTGAAGTGGGGCCGTGGGGTGCAGATGGGTTTGCTGACTACGTACCTGGCTCCCTGCCACGTGGCAGCGACCCTGCCCGAGCTACTCGACGTCATTGCCGGGGTGGCGGTCGATACCCCCAGACTTATTGTCATGGGGGATTTCAACCTCCCATCCGCAGGTGAGGCGTCAGAGGTGGCTCGGGAGTTCATGGCTTCAATGACGGCCTTGGACCTGACCCAGTTAGTTCAAGGCCCCACTCACATAGGGGGACACACTCTGGACCTGATTTTTATCTCTGGTCAGTGGTTGAATGATCTTGGCAGAGGGGACCTAGATATTAAACCCTTGTCATGGACAGATCATTCACTCCTTCAACTAGACTTTCCTACCGCCTCCCCCCACCGCAGGGAGACGGAACCGACCAGATGGTTCCGTCCCAGGCGCCTGATGGATCCCGAAAGGTTCCTGACGGAGCTTGGGCTGTTTCCTGAGACTCTAACACACGACTCGACTGAAGAGCTGGTGGCCGCCTGGGAAAGGGCGGCCGCTGGAGCTTTGGACCGCGTCGTGCCTTTGCGGCCTCTGACCCGATGCCGATCTCAATTAGCTCCTTGGTTCTCTGAGGAGCTGAGAGAGATGAAGCGTCGGAAAAGACGCCTAGAGAGCATTTGGAGGACTAGTCAATCCGATTCCGACCGGACACAGGTGAGGTCTTATATCAAGACCTACCTAGTGGCGATAAAAGCGGCAAAATCTAACCATTTTTCCGCTCTTATCGCATCTGCAGAGAACCGCCCAGCCGCCCTGTTTAGGGTGACCCACTCCCTTCTTCGGGGGGGAGTGCGGGAAGATCCCTTGCAGGGTCGTGCTGAGGATTTTGTGCAATTCCTGCACGATAAAGTCGCTCGGATTCGGGATGGCTTGGACTCCGATTGGATGAGTCCACGGGAGGAGACCGGGGCAGGTCTTGAGAATGTTATCTGGGAGGAGTTTGATCCTG